TCTATCACGTTATGTAGGATCTCTGTCCTGGACAGCTTCAGGGATCTCCCCATGACCCTAGTCATCCCCTTTGCTTCTCTTTCTTGAAATCTGTTTCCTGGAGCTTGTCTTCTGATTTCTCTCTCTCTCTTTCTCTCTCTGTGTGTTTGTGTTCCCTTCATTCTGGTGGAGCCCTTCCCAAAGTGTGTGGAGTGATAAATGCTTTGAGACCTTGTGGATTTGATAGAAGATCAGAAAACAGGATCTTGAGCTGACAGGCTGTTTAAGAAGTAGTTGAAATGATCAGGTGTCCTATACTTCCTGCTGTGGGCAGGGGGGATCAGCTCTCAACCCCTACTGCACTCACCCAGTGTGGTTCGCAGTACAGTCTTCGTTTAACTCAGTGTTGGTGTGTATGTCATTATGACTGTGTGGACGTGTTCACTGCCGAGCCAGATAATGCACTCTGATAGTTTTCTTCAAAAACTGTGTTTTTGTTGTTGTTGTTGAGATAATTCATTTTTTAAAATTTGATTTTTCTACGTATCCATTGCTAATAACTTGAACTGACCTATCAGTTTTCTCTCAGCTAATTTGTACTGATCTCTAAGCCATATATAGCCATTCAGTTCCCCCATCACCCTTTTTCCTGGTGCTTCACCTTCTGTAGCACCCCCATCCTTCAGCTTCTATCTGAATGGGTTGTACTCTAGGCCTAGTTCACAACCATCATTTAGGGCCTTGCCTTTACTCTTCTCCTTTCTTGGACACGCTCTTTTCTGGATACCGTATCATCTCATTTCATGACTTACTGCATTGTTTTGGTAGAACACATACACCAGTAGCTTTCTCAGAAAGGTACAAGGAGCTACATTTCTTTTGAATCTTTAACATGTAAAAATATCTTTGCTGGGTGCAGTGGTGCATGCTTGTAATTCCAGCTACTTGGAAGGCTGAGGTGGGAGGATTGCTTGAGGCCAGGAGTTCAAGACCAGCCTGGGAAACATGGCAAGACCTTGTCTCTTCTCTTGAAAGAACAACAACAAATAACAAAATTTTAAGGCATGCTTAGATTTCCTTGATAATTTTACTACATACAGAATTAAAAATGGAAACTGCTGTCCTTGAAATTTTGAAGATATTGCTCCGTTGTCTTCTAACATACTTTGTGTTTGATTTAATTTTTTCTTGTTCTCTCTGGAACATTTTAGAATCTTAAGAAGATTTAAAAGTGTCACAACTTCTGTCATGTATCTCCGTGTAGATCCTTTTAAAATTATTTATGCTGGGCATTTTGCTTTCTCCATTTAGTCTGGAAACTGTCGTCCATCAGTCTGAGATATTTCCTAAGTTAAAAAAAAATTATTTAAAAAAAACTTCCTATTATTTATTAGGGCTTTAGGAAGATTCTCTACTTTCCTACCTTTAAAATTTTCCATGTAGTTACGTTTTGCTTTACTTTCTATGAGATCTCTTCAAATTAATCTTCAACAATAGAAATACAACTTTCAATTATCCATATTGTCAGTTTTGGGGAACTGTTGACCTTTCTTCATAGCATCTCTTGTATTTTGGAAGAGATTCTTATTCTCTCGGGGAATAGTCTAGATTTTAAAACATTTTCTTCTGCTCCCTAGAATGTCTGCATTTTTTTTTTTTTTTTTTTTTTTTTGAGACAGAGTCTTACTCTGTCACCCAGGCTGGAGTGCAGTGGCGTGATCTTGGATCATTGCAACCTCCGCCTCCTATGTTCAAGCAATCCTCCCACCTCACCTCCCAAGCAGCTAGAATTACAGGCACGCACCACCATGCCTGGCTAATTTTTGTTTGTTTGTTTTTTTGAGACAGAGTCTCACTCTGTCACTCAGGCTGGAGTGCAATGGTGCGATCTTGGCTCACTGTGGCCTCCGCCTCCTGGGTTCAAGCAGTTCTCCTGCCTCCACCTCTCGAGTAGCTGGGACTACAAGTGTGTGCCACCATGCCCGGCTAATTTGTTGTATTTTTAGCAGAGATGGGATTTCGCTGTGTTAGCCAGGATAGTCTCCATCTCCTGACCTTGTGATCTGCCCGCCTCAGCCTCCCAAAGTGCTGGGATTACAGCCGTAAGCCACCACACCTGGCCTAATTTTTGTATTTTTAGTATAGAGACAGGGTTTTACCATGTTGGCCAGGCTGGTCTCGAACTCCTGACCTCGAGTGATCTGCCCACCTCAGCCTCCCAAAGTGCTGGAATTACAGGTGTGAGCCACCGCACCTGGCCATCTACGTGTTTTTAGAAGGCTTTCTTTCCTTCTCTTTGTTTTGGATCTGACTTTCATTTTGCAGGCTTTCCTTGAATGTTTACTGATCTTTGGCAGATCCAAGGTACTTAAAATCAGGTTGGAATTTTTGTGCCTGTGGATGTGTCAATTGCTGATTTTTCTTTAAAATGATGAAGCAACAACTGGTCTTTTTTGTCAAAGGAAGCCCTCAAATATCAGTATATGTGCCTGTTGAGATGGTCCTGAGAATAATTCCACCAGCCCTGCCTGGGACAAACCTGGATAAGCTATTCTGGAAGCAGGATGAAAGAAGGGGACTGTGGGGGTTCCCTGGTACAGTAAGTAGACTGATTCTTTCTCAGTTCCCAACACCTCGTGCCTCATTTTCAGCCCTGAATTACACACACCCTCTTTGTCATTGTGCCTGGAGTATGTGAGTTTCTAATTTTCCTGGTTCAATGTCCTTGGGTAATAAACTTTTTTGGGGTTTGGGTAGGTGGGAGAGGGTTCCTGGGTGCAAAGGTCTAGCCTCTTCGTATAGTGACTTGCACCCTCTGTTTCCCACACCCTTCTCCCTCCCATTCAGCATGAGCCTCCTGGGCTTTGGACTATTTTGTTGGAATTCTCTGAGGATCACTTATGATACAAATCATCACAGACCTCTCTCTTGCTTTCCATCACCCACAAGTCAGCAGAATGTTGTATCTGATCTTGTTCCTGCTGCTATAGTCCTCTTAAAGTATAGTTACTGTCATTTTTATAGGATTTTTGGTGTTGATGCAGGTATGTGGTTAATCTGCCACGTTCAACTGGAAGTCCATTTTATTTTACCAAGGTATAAAATAAGATGATTTAAAAATTTACTGTAATAGCAGTAATCATACCAGAGCTGCATTGTTAAAAATTATGCAAAATTGTTATTTTCTAAGGGTGCAGATTCAGTCAGATATTCACAGATTAGTCTAATTTATATGACTTGTTTAAAATCCCCCTCCCCATCAATGAGGTAGCCTCTGAACTCGTCTGAGAGTGTGAATGACATTTTTGAATTGACCATTCAGACTTGTGCCCCTGCATGTATCTGCGCATGCGCTGGGTCACATTTCTCTATCTCATTTTCTTCCCTATCACACAGAAAATCACATTCAGCCTGATGTTTGGTTTTAAGTCTAACTGCAGATGTTGTGGTGCTCTGGGGGTGTCTTCCAGCCTCACATCAGTGCAGCAGTTCTCTTCTGGATGGTAACAAAGAGAAGATGTCACCGGCAATGCAGGGCCATGGAAATCGGCTGTTCTTTTTCTGTGCTCTGCTGTTTGTTGGGCGGGGTGGGAAAAAGTATGAGAATTCTAGTTCTGATTAGCCGTGAATGAGACTTTTCTCCGTGGGAGTCCTGCAGACACCAGGGTGTGGTGACTGATTTCATTTCTGCTGCTTAGGGAGGTCTTGGTGGCTGTCGGCACAGAGTGCTTGGAAGGCAGGAGAAACTGGCAGGACCAGCAAGGCTCTGAAAATAGGGCGTCATGGGGGTTGGCACGGTGACCGGGACTGGTCTCCGGCAGTGCCACTGAGCGGTTATGTGACCAGCTAGGTTTCTGGTCTCCTTGACCCCCTTGGAATTTCCCCATGACCTCACCTCCCCAGGGGTTGTAGCCAAAAGAATGAAAATCACAGAGCTGCCTCTAGCATAGCACCCTTAAAATGCTCAGCTATGAAGCAAACAGTTCCTTAACAGACAGGAGCAGAGAAAAGTTACCTGTTAGCCCTTAACCTGCCTGCTTCCTGGTTTCTTTTAGACCTTGGGCAAGTGTTATAGTTTCCATATTTATTTTTTGGAAGTGAAGAAGCTGGAGAGAGAAGGAAGTGAGTTAATAACCAGCTTTTCCAGAGTGCTGACTTCTGCATTTCTTAGTACAGGATTTTGCCAGGCCCTTGACATTCGTTTAAAGGAAAAAAGAATTCTTTCTCCTTGAACATCTGTGCAAATCAGTGGGAGTGGGAGTCTAGAGCCCGTGGAGAGTGTGAGATAACTTAGCACATTTCTGAAAGCTAGGATGAGAGACAGCAGATCCATGTTATTGTACTGCAATGGCAACAGCCCAATAGCAAAGGCAGACCATTGAAATGTGCCAAAAAGATGCATTTGTAGTGCGGTATAATCACATTTTGAAAAATGTACAGTAGATAAGTGGGGAAATACGCGTTCTGGTTGCTTCATAAATAAAAGTAGTTAAGGATGTCTATCATTCTCATGTTTTTTAGTTCCAGCATTGGATATGTACTTACAAAAAGGCAAACCTAATTCACTGAATCAGTTTGGCATAGAGCTCTTTTCAAATTCAGCATCATTTCAGTGCATTTCAGCTTTATACATAGCTCTCAGCCAGGAAATCTCAGGTTTAATTAGGTCATTTGTTCTTGAGAGTTCTGTCCTTGCAAAACAGGAGAGGAATTTTTATGGGCAGTTGGCACACAGAAAAAGTAAACAACAAAATGTTCCTGTTTTCTTCAATTTTAGGTGGTACTTATGAAAACTCCTTAGAAGGAATTTTGTATATTTCAGGATATTAATCAATCTGGGTAAAATGTCTTCAGGTTTTGATTTTCATGTACTCTAGGTTTTTGCCTCTGCCTGGAGTCTTTGGAATCCTAGGGGGTTTGTGACCTTGGAATGCAGGCCTGTGAAGCATTTTCAGGATTTCAGAAGGCCTAACCAGAAACTCGCAGTCATGGGGAGAGGGACTGGAGCTGCCTCCGTAAGTCCAGCAAATTAATGAAAACATCAAAGCACTGTTTGGTTTTGCCAGATTTTTCTCACGTTGCTCATGTTGATTCAGAAGGACTTACTGACCATTAGGTGTGCCTTCAGTGAACAGAAAAAAGGTCAAGTCAGTTGTTGCTTAACTGCAGCCTGGCTGAGGTGTTCTTTTGACAGGAAGGATAGGGGTTGGGGTGTGATGTGGTAGGACCCGATCCAGACAGGATAAAGTGCTGGTAACCACGGTGCTAACTTTGAAAGCCAGCTGGCCCCACACTGCTCTTCACTTCCCCAGCAGTGTGCTGTGTAAGGTGGTGTGGTGCTGATGGGAGATTGTCCTCATCCCTGTTCTCCGCTATTTCAGCAAAAGTCTGTGAGGGGTCGCTCCAGCGTTGTGACCTTGGAGTGTGGTGATGGGAAGGACTCAGCTCCCACACGGTCCTGCTTGCTTCTTTCCTTCCAACTCCAGAATGTTTATTTCATACGTTAATATGGAAAATACACAGAGAAAAGACTGGAAGGAAATCGGCCAAAATGCTAGCAGCTTTTGTTTACTCACTCTGTTAGTAAACCAAATTGCCAAATTCAGCAATGCTTACCAATGATCGCCTTTCTGCTTAATTTTGCAAATGATCGATCATGAACCTTATTCTGTCATTTAAAAAATGGAATAAGAACTATATATCTTAGTGCGTATTTGGAATGTTTTCAAAAGGTTGGTGACTTGGAGCACTTATTGACAAGGTTCACGAGTGTAGCTGAGTCCATCGTCTATGAGGGAGTCTAAAACACACATGAAGCATTGTAAAGAAACTCAAGTGAGCCTTGCGAGGAAAATGCTGGAGCCAGAGCTTAGAGTTTCTGCTTCGGAGTGCCTGAAAGTTTCATATTTCTTCTTTTATGCAGGTTCCAAATGTTTCTGGAAGGCTTGAAAGTGAATAAAATAGCCCTTTGACAGAACTGACAAAAACGGAGGGACTTAGGGGGAGGGCCCAGTAAGTCATTGTACACAAGCTTTGTGTTGTTAGCTTTGGCAAGGACAATTTTTAGAGAAAGCTCTATGTGAAATGCCAGAATTAATGGCTCACTTTTATGGGGCACTTGAACTGTCTGCCTTGTCGACTATCAAGCTGCCATTTTCCCTGCTCGAATTATAATAATCAATATGCTTACAGCACATACTATATGTCAGGCACTGTTCTAAATATGTTAGTTTTTGCTTCAAAACAACCCTGTGAGATAGATACTACTACGTATGAGGAAACTGAGGCACAGAGAAGTAAAGTAACATACCCAAGGTCATGCAGCTGTAAGTGGTAGAACCATGACTTGAATCCTGTCTCGCTCCTGGATCTGTGCCCTCAACTACTGCTCTGCTTTTGCCTGGAACCTGGCCATGGTGGTGGGTGGGTGGATGGGTGTGGTTCAAGATCAAAATCAAATGGAAAGTTTTGCTGAAGTTCGCTCTGCAGCAGGTGCTTGGATAGCCGACTGCTAGGAAGCTTGGTTTGACTGACTTTTCACTAACTTTTTATTGAGCTACCTGTTGGCCATTAAAAAACAGGAAATATGTGAGACATGGTTTCAGTCTTCAAGGAATTCACAGCCAAAGTTGAGATATGAGATAGGCTCTCATGAAAATTTACATAATCTGTGTCAGTTCCTTGTGAGGAACTCAGGGTGGATCTGTTGGTATTTGTCTTGGGAGAGGAATATGTTGCCATTTTAAGTGAGAGGATGTTAACATCAGCCAAACAAAATCAAATCCAAACTTCAGCGTGGATATTCTTCTGTCAACTCCTCTCCTCCTTGGTTCTTAACTGATATACTTTATTTGCTCTTTTGCTAAATCTTGAACCCCATCCTCTCCACTCCCTCCCAGTCTTGGTTCCATCATTCCTTCCTTCTCTGGTATCTCTTAGCTTTTTTGAAAAAAAAAAATTATAGTACAAAACATAAAATGTACCTTTAACCATTTTAAGTGTTCACTCATATTAACCATATACATATTGATGTGTAACAGTTTTATAAAGTTTTCATCTAGCAAAACTCAAACTCTGTACCCATTAAAACGACAGCTCCCCACTCCCGCTCTTTCTAGCCCCGGGCAATCACCATTCGACTCTTTTTATGTGATTTTGACAACTCTAGTTACCTCAGTGAAAAATCATACAGTATATTTGTCTTTTTTGCACTTAGCACAGTGTCGTCTTCAAGGTTCATTCAAGTTGTAGCATGTGATCCTTAAAAGGATCCGTTTAAATCTTTAAAAGGATTTCCTTCCTGTTAAGGCTTAATAGCATTCCATTGTGTGTATGTATCACATTTTGTTTGTCCATTCATCCATCCATGGACACTTGGGTTGTTTACACCTCTTGGCTTTTGCAAATAATACTGCAGTGAACATGGGAGTGCAAATACCTCTGAGATCCGGATTTCAATTCTTTTGGTTACATACTCAGGCATGGGATTGCAGGAGGACTGTCATCTCTCTCATCTTATTCAACAGGCTGCTTCTCCCCAGCGTCCAAACAGACTTGAGTCTTTCTCATCTCTTTTTGTTGTTCTTTTAAAAGAACAACACAATTTATTTTTAAATGTGAGAATTATGGGAAACCTAAGCCATGGGAATTGGACCCTCACCTGGGTCTTCTGTGAAATGGGAATTGCTCCCACCTTCCGCAACCCGAAGCTTCTGCAGTTTTGCCATCAGTTCTTTGGCGGGGTTAAAGATGCCACCGGTTGACTGGTCACAGACGTAGCAGCGCGGGGTGGCCCGGAAATGCTCCAGCGCGCAGCTTTCGCAGAAGTAATGCCTGCACTTGGTGACGACTGGGTTTTGGAAGGCCTGGCGACATAGGAAACACCTGAATGGTATTTCCTCTTCCTCGCTTTCTACTTCATGGTTTTCATCCTGGCAGATACCGTAGCGACCCTCTTCAAGCTCCCGTTCAATCTCCCACCCGTGTTTGTAATCGGAACGGTCGTGGAGGAATTTGCAGCTGTCCCCGAAGCCGCAGAAACCGGTCTCCTTGTAGTCCTTGCAGATGTCGGGCTGGTAATCCCAGCGCACAGTGGCGCGCAGGTGCCCGGGCGCACGGATGGGGCCCTTCCTCGCCATCCCCGAGAAGGAGTTGCCCATGGACGTGTCCCTGGGCTTCAGGTACCTCGGGTAGCTGTTGATTCCCCGGTAGATCTGGTCGTGCTCCCGGCCCCACAATGCCTCCTGGACCCGCTGGCTGCGTTTGAAGATGGTCTGCGTATGGTGCTCCTTCTCAGTGTCCCGCTCGAAGTCAGCGGTGGCCCCCATGTCCTCCGGCCCCACAGGCTTCGCCGAGCGGGTGGACCTGTACACTATGCCGAGGCTCTCAGGCGCTGCCTCCTCGCCCCTCCGGTCGCCGTGAGCCGCCTTCTGACAGCTGTGGAGGCCCCGGGGCCTCGGTGCCACCCGCGGGGGCCGAGCCACTGCGTCGCCCTCGTCCCCGCTGCCGCCGCTCTCTCCATGCTCGGAGTCGCAGGCCGGGCGCTTTCTGAGGCCTGCAGCCCCTTTCCGCCCAGGCTTTTTGAAGAGGAAGGTGCATACCTGGTCTGCCTGGTCGGCCGTCCTTCCCGGAGAAGGTGGTGCTGCCATGTTTGAGTCTCCGGCTCCAAACGGCCGTGGCGTGCGTCGCCCTTGCGTCGCCCTTGCGTCACCCTTGCGTCACTGCACGTGGGGCGTGGGCCCTCCCAGTCCTAAAAAGCAAAAGCAAGTGAAAGAAAAGCTTCTCCTAGGCCAGTCGCGGTGGCTCACGCCTGTAATCCCAGCACTTTAGGAGGCTGAGGTGGGAGAGTCACCCGAGGTCAGCAGTTCAAGACCAGCCTGGCCAACATGGCGTCCTTACTAAAAATATAAAAATTACCTGGGTGTGGTGGTGGGCACCTGAAGTCCCAGCTACTTGGGAGGCTGAGGCAGGAGAATCGCTTGAACCCAGGAGGCAGAGGTTACAGTGAGCCAGGACCACGCCACTGTACTCCAGCCTAGGTGACAGAGCGAGACCCAGTCTCAAAAAAAAAAAAAAAAAAAAAAGCCTGCATCTGCCCTCTTTCCCTCCCTTGATCTGTCTCCTGGCCCTCAGGTGGATTCCTTGAGAGAGTCATCTTCACTTGCTCCTCAGCTCCCTCGGTGCACACTCATTTCTCGACACGGGTGGAATCAATCCAGACCATAGCGAACCCGTGGTGCTGATCCTAAAACACAGGCGCTTGAAATGTGTATTTAAAAGCAACATGCGCAGTGCAGAAAACAAAAACAAAAAGATATAAGCAAAAAGTAAGACGCCTATAATCCCTCCCCTCAAAGATAACCACGTCAACACTTTTGTGTCTCTTCTTTTCATCTAGCCTTTATTAAAAGACTGTCATATCACGCTGCACTTGTGGTTGCGTAGCCGGCTTCATTTTGAAATAAAAGTAACACATGTAAACATTTAAAAAAATACCATCAAGCACTTATTGTACTGGAAATCGGGTGTCCCCTGCCTGGCCCCTCCACACGCCAATTCCTCGTACCTAAGATAATAATTTTCAATTTTTTTTTTTTTGAGAAAGTCTCGCTCTGTCACCCAGGCTGGAATGCAGTTACACGATCTCGGCTCAGTGCAACCTCTGCCTTCCAGGTTCAAGCAATTCTCCTGCCTCAGCCTGCTGAGTAGCTGGGATTACAGGCGTGTGCCACCACACCCAGCTAACTTTTCTGTTTTTAGTAGCGACAGGGTTTCACCATGTTGACCAGGCTGGTCTGGAACTCCTGATCTCAGGTGATCCGTCCACCTCAGCCTCCCAAATTGTTGGTATCACAGGCGTGAGTCACCGCAGCCGGCCTTCAAATATTTTCAACCCTTTTTTTCTTGAGTTTATCTTCAAGTTGTGAAATAATTCATTTATATAATGTGAATGGATTCCAGTTCTTATTTAGTCAGTGCATGCCATAAAGTGTTACATGCAATTTCTTTTTCTAATTTAGGTTCTATCTCTTTACTTACTAGAATGGAAGATGAGATTCAGCTCCCTTGTAGTGCCCCCAAAACACTGGCTACTGTGGGTTGAGAGAGAAGTTGTGTGGGTCTCCCTTCCTAGACACCAAGGCATCCTCAGTTGGAGGAAATGTGATGAATAAGCTTACAGTGTAAAGAATAATTCGTCATTTGTCAGTTTTCTCTTGGGATAGTAATTCTAGATTTTTCTTCAACTATTAGATCCCATCTTTCATGTTGGAAGCTTGTCTAAAATACTTGGTTATCTCCAGCTGTTTATACTTAAGAGTGAGGTGCCTAAAAGCTGGCTGGAATGCACTGGTATTGTCAGACTTATACACCGGACTGTCCTTTGTGTGATTCAGTTGGAAACCGTCTTTTTTCTTGGGGACCCCTAGATGTTGGTGTCCGTATTAGTCTGTTTTCACGCTGCTGATAAAGACACACCTGAGACTGGGCAGTTGACAAAAGAAAGAGGTTTAATGGACTTACATTTCCATGTGACAGGGGAGGCCTCATAATCCATGGCGGAAGGTGAAAAGCACGTCTCCCATGGGGGCAGGCAAGACAAGAGAATGAGAACCAAGGGAAAGGGGTTTCCCCTTATAAAACCTTCCGATCTCATGGGATTTATTCACTACCACAGGAACAGTATGGGGGAAACTGCCCCCATGATTCAATTATCTCTGATAATTGGGTTCCTCCCACAACACAAGGGAATTATGGGAGCTACCATTCAAGATGAGATTTGGGTGGGGACACAGCTAAACCATATCAGTGTCCATAGGTCTTTTCTGCTGGGTTCTGAGTTTCTACAGAGAAGACTCATCTCATATTCCACTGTGGGGTGTGATCTTTGCTGCCAGAATTCTATGATAAGAGCTGTAGAAGTGGGCTAGGAAGGGAAGGCCTTATAATTTGGGGTATAAACTTTGACTTAATCCCTCATTTTCAGTACAGCATCTGATTCCCACCTTTGGTTGTTCCTGGGCCCTTTAAGCATAGGTCTTCTTGGATTCAGCCTCCACAGAAGAGAGATCTCCTGCTTCTGCCAGGCTGGGGAAAGGGTAGGTGCCTGGCTGCATGTGGTGGGAGATTGTGTTAGTTTTGCATTGCTATAAAGGAATGCCCGAGGCTAGGTAATTTATAAAGGAAAGAGGATTAATTGACTTATAGTTCTGTAAGCTGTACAAGCAGCATGGCATTGGTATCTGCTTCTGGTTGATGGCTTCAGTAAGCTTCCAGTTGATCATAGTGGAAGGCAAAGAGGGAGCAGACTGTGTCACATGGCAAGAGTGGGAATGAGAGTGGGGAGGGGCCACACACTTCTAAACAACCAGATCGTGAACTCAGAACAAGATCTCACTTATCACCCAGGGAATGGTGCTAAAGCACTCATGAGGGATCCCACCCCCATGATCCAGTCACCTCCCACTAGGCCCCACCTCCAACACTAATCACATTTCAGCATGAGATTTGGAGGGAGCAAACATCCAAACCATATCAGAAATTTTTCACATTCTCAGCCAGTCTTTTTGTGTGGAGCCATATCTGTTTCCAGTGGTATGTGATTCTTGCAGTTCCTGGGATTTGTCTTGAAATTGGCGTGCTGCTGCTTGTCATCTCCCTCTGCAGCCTTCAGTTTCAGCCTTCTTCCAAGTTAGTTGATATTTTTCAGTTCACTGTCTTTCTTCTAAAATATTGTTGATGTTCTTGTTTTCTCTGGTGTCTCTTTCTTCTGGCTCCTTTGGTGGGAATCTGCCTTTGTAAAGTAATGTTTATCATTTTAGTGGGATTTTGGGAGAGAATAGGGCTGAATGCCTGAGTGCAGTCCGCTGTGTTGAATGAGGAATGTTAGTGAGCTGTCTTCACTTGATAAGTATTTTCCCCTGTTCCTTAGTATTTCTCCATAATGTGCATTTTAATGCCTGCATAATGATCAATTGTATGATTCTATCATGCATTATTGTCCTAATACTCTGTTGTTAGATTATGTGTTCCCTCATTTATATACCTTTCCCTGTCTTTACATTTGTTTTCTTAGGTTTGATTCCTACAGAATTAGAGTTTAAGCATTTTCAACTTTCTTTTTTTTTTTTTAAAGACAGAATTTCGCTCTTAACTGCTTTCTGAAAGAGTTGTATTGTATGTACATTCACCAGACATGCGTGAGTATGGCCATTTCATTGCAGATAGCACTTCTCCCTGCTGGTTTAGGACCACATGTACCTACTAAGTGAAGGAAAAAATTGGGATGAACCAAATGAACTTCAATAATTCTGTCAGCTCACATGTTATGAAGCTTGACTGTCTGAGGTCACATCCTGGCTCTGTGACCTAGAGCAAATGACTTAACTACCCTGGATTTCAGTTTTATCCCCTGTGAAGTGGGGAATGAAAGGAAAAATAATAAGTGAATAGACTTAGGTTTAGATTTTTGCCTGGCTGGCAGCAATGAAGAAGAGCAAAAGCAAAAGCAATAAAGTCAATTTCTTAGGTAGTAATGGTAAGATTGTTCTTTATCATTAAAAAGTGACTTGTTTGGGAAGAAGTGATACATTTTTATTACAAAAAAAAAAAAAAAAGTAAAAAGAAGAAATGAAAAACCTCACCCTAAATCTTACCGTTTAGAAATAATATTAATTAATTAATTAATTAATTTTTTGAGAGAGAGTGAGTCTCACTGTCACCCAGGCTGGAGTGTAGTGGCACAATCACAGCTCATTGTAACCTCAAACTCCTAGGCTCAAGCGATCCTCCTGCCTCAGCCTCCCAAAGTGCTGGGATTATAGGCATAAGCTACTGTACCTGGCCAATGATGTTGGTAACATTTTGCGAGCCCTGTCTAGAACTTGCCATGGGCATGGGATCTTATCATACATGGTATTTAATACTTAAAGGTGTAAAATAAAAGACTTTAATTAAAGCAAAGGAAAAGAAACTAAAGCAAGATAGAAATACTGACTTCATTGCAAGAGAGATTATGCTATCTTTTAAAAACTATATTTATGTCAGAAGATGGTAAATACTGAGATTAGAATAATTTCTCATAAACTATGAGTTTATGAGACACTCTCCTTTGAAAGCTAAAAAAAAAAATTAGAACTGACCTATGCTGTCCCTCTTTCCCAAGCTCCAAAGTTTTATCAGTTAATTATGAATTTTACAATGTGAAGGATTGTAACATTTCTATTCTATTCTAATAATGCCACAATTCCCATAGGTCTTTGACTTAGTTCTCTTTTAGCATAGATTCAGAACTTATTGCTAGTCTTTTTACTGTGTTTTTACCATGCCTGAGTTTAAAATTTTGACTTGTTGGTTGGTTCATTGTTTTATTTATTTAATCGATTTTATTTTTTGAGACAGGATCTTGCTCTGTCACTCAGGCTGGAGTGCAGTGTTGCCATCATGGCTCACTGCTGCCTCACCCTCCTGGACTCAAGTGATCCTCCTATCTCAGCCTCCTGAATAGCTGGGACTTACAGGTGCATACCACCACACCTGGCTGATTTTTGTATTTTTTGTAGAGATGGAGTCTTCCCATATTGCCCAGGCTGGTCTCAAACTCCTGGGCTCTAGTGAGCTACTGGCCTTGGCCTTCCAAAGTGCTGGGATTACAAGGGTAAACCCAGTGTGGTCGCACCTAGCCACATTGTTTTATTTAGAGAAGCCCTGGTAGGTACTGTGTTCCTTGAGGTCTTACACTTAAGGATAGCTGTTCCTTGCTTTTATATTTGAAGGACAGTTTGGCCGAGTACCAAGGTCTTGAGCCCCACGTTCTTGCCCTCAGAATTT